AAACGTTCTGTCTGTGCAAGCCCAGTGGTGGTTATTGTGGTAGCTAGCGGAGTTCTGTGTGGCCCCCAAGCCTGCTCTGTTGTTGCCTATAAACTATTGTCTCTGACACCGGGTGGTGAGGGTCACTACCACATCCTACCACCTCATACAGGAGTGGAGGAATAAAGGAAGGGTCTTCAGAAACAGCCCTGCCACACCCTCCCATGAGCAGAAGAGGCTAGACTCCATCTCTAAAGACTCTAGCTTAAGCTTTAGAAATCCCAGAAAAAGAAGATGCCAGCCCGTGCCCTGATAAGTACATCCCATCCCGTGCAGTGGGGCAGCCTGTCCTTCCTAGCCTAGCTCATTGAACCAGATCTCACTGCTAACAGTGCATTTCCCACCAGTGCAGCAGTTCTAAAAGGTGCGGCCACAGGCCTAATAGACAGAAAGGAAGCGGCGTCTACCCTAATCCCAAGACTTGGTCCTCAGCAGGCGACAGACGGTCAGTACCATGACTCTAGCCATAGCCAGCTCCTGACCCGCACAGCCACAATGTCCCTTCTTGGTAAATCTCCGTGGAGGACCAACTGGCCCTTTGGCAGGTCACCTTGAACGCTTCTGTCCTAAGTGAAGCATCTGGATGAAGCTCTCTCCTGAGACTGGATCCGGACCCCAAAGGTGACTCTTGGGGACAGTGCTGTGCCACCCTGGCCATGCCATGATGAGGGGGAAGGAGGGAGGCAGACCTCTCACATGGTAGGGGTACACATAGTATAGCAGTGCCCCAAGGCCAGGGAGCATTCTCAGCTTTCTTCCTGTGATGGTCAGGAATGCCCAGTAACCAGACGGTGAACTCGAGGGGGGTGGGTGACTCCTACCACAGAAGGTGGTACACTCGGGCTGGCCAAAGCATCTTCTTAGTTCTTTGGTTTAACACACCTTCCCATCCCCACTCCCATACTGCATTTCCTAAGTTTCCTGTTTCTATGTCTTCTCTGAACCTGTCTCAAAGCCATCTGAGAGGATTCACCTGGGCCAGGCCACTCCTGGAAGAGCCATTAGATGAACCCTGTGAGCATCCAAGGGTTGGACTTAAACTACCAGCCGGCTACAATGCCCACAAGAAGCCATTTGTGACTGAGGCCATGTGTGATGGAGCGGGGACACAGACAATGGTGGGAAAATGGCCTCCTGTGCAGATGGCTTGGCCACTTTGCTGGCTCTGCACCAGTGTGTCAGGCAAAGGGGGTACCTAGGGTGCCTCAAAGGAGCCCTGGTGGCACAGTGGTTAAGTACTTGGTGGTTCAAACCTGCCAGAGGCTCAAGAGAAAAGATCTGACAATCTGTTAAGTGCTGTCAAGTCAATTCCGACCCACAGTGACCCTGTATAGGGTTTCCAAGGAGCGACTGGTGAGCTTGAACTACCGACCTTGTGATTCAAACGACTTTGCAGTCTGGCACATAAACCCGATGGGGCTGTTCTGTCACATGGGGTTGCTTTGAGTCAACTTGAGGGCACACGGCAGGGTCCCTCAGGCTCCCAGAGAGGACTGAGACCCGCCCCTCCCAGCAGATGTTTAACCTGGGCTCCACAATGGAAGCCGGCCTCCTCACTGTGACACAGGGCAGGACTGATTTCTGACCCCTCTGGGGTATGAAACGAGCCACTGCTGAATTAACAAAATCACACCACCAAGAGACAGTCTGCTAGTGCTTTTGACACATTTATCAGTTTTTATTTAAAAACATGCTAAAAACATGGTGTTAAATAAAGCCAGGACCAGGATGAAGAAGCACAGGTACAGCACTGCGAGCAGAAAAGTGCATCTGAAACCCACAAGCGCGCTCTACCGCTCTGCCCTCAGGCAGGTGGGGGGGGTACCCCAAGGCTTCCCACTCAGGTAGGGGAGCCGGGTCCCACTCCTGTCGATGGTTGGCTGCGGTGAAGAGGAGAGAAATGGGTGCATGTGAACCAAGGGGGGCTGGACAGGCTCTGAAGGGCTGAGGGACAGGGGTGGCTGGAGCACCGAACTCCCAGCTCCCATCCTGGGTCATGTCCCTGCTAGTTAGCACCTCCACCAGTGGGTGGGCAGGGGACTGGAGAGGACAGTCACATCCATCTGTCCCCTTGTGATAGACAGTCACCTTGTTCCAAGTGAAATCCAGAATATTGGAGAGGGCCTGCAGCCTGGGGTAGGTTGGCAAACTTTCCAGAGAGAAAGCCTAAGATGCAGGCCCATGCTGGCAGGGGGGGTGGGGGTGGGGGGCAGTGCTCCAGCCCTGGGTGTGGGGCGGGCGGCAGGAGTGGCTGGGGGTGGAGGGGCAGCAGACAGAAAGCCTGACACCTGCTGCCCTGCCTCCCCTTGCCCTGAGAGAGGCTCCGAGCTAGGCTGGGTCTACAGTAGACATTCCTTGCCACTGTCTGCAATCCTGAGGGATTTCTGAGTCACAGCTGTAAATTGCTTGCATCCCGATTGAACTGAGACTTTATCGAGGGAAGCTGAGAATGAGGTGATTCACTCCATTCATTCTGCCTCAATGAGATCAGGAGCAGTGGAGCAGACCCTGTCCCCACCACGGCACCCCACAATAGCCTTCCCTCCATGGCCTGGGACCCGCTATGGGACCCAGTGACATCCACAGAGACTTCAGTTCCAGGTAGACTCGGCCAAGTGACAAACAGCCAAGTATAGGGTGAGGCAAGAAGGCAATTTGGGGAATTCTAGAGAAGGCGCTGCAAACAGACCAACGAGATGGGGTCTGGTAGGGGAAGGAGAGGGCTGCGGGAAAGATGTCAGGGCCAGAAGACACCCCTGAAGCCCCCCAGTGCACTAGGCTTTTGCTGTTGGTTTTAGCAAAAATGAAAAAATTGCATTGATTAGGCATAAACAACCCACCCCTTTCGCACACCCAACACCCCATGCACCAGGTCTCATGGTGCAACTTGAACACTTGCTTGCCAAGTGTCTCCGCAGAAGCATGTCTGCTCCACACTCTGCAGTATGGGGTCCCAAGGAGGCAGCCGCAGCTCCTTACCAGGAAGACGGGTCAGTGGGTGTGAGAAAGGCAGTCCTGTTCTCCCTTCCTGGCATTTCCCATTAGTGCCATCACTGCCTGGATGCTGTCCAGCTCTCTGAGACCACCCTATTTTCTACTCCTCAACCTAACCCCCTCAAAAAGGCATGAGTCCTGAACACATCCAAAGTCCTCTTCTCCTGGTCCCAATGTGCACATCATATAAGGTGAGTGGATGAGTTACTAGTTGACTGGGTGGCTGTGTCTTGGGTCTTGGAACAGGATGATGGAGGTTGGAGAAGAAACCAAGCCCTGTTAAGAGTACAGGTAACAAGGCAGCTACCCATACAAGGTCCCAGTCAGCAAAATGCCACAGGATACCAGAGAGCTGGGGGATAACATTTTTGAGCTCAGTCCCATGGATTCTTGACTTTCTTTAATTGCAAAATGTTAAACGAGGCCAGCTTAAGTCAGAGCCTCCTGCAGTTGGACACCATAGCCCGTCCCAGTTGGTTGTGTCACAAGCCATGACTTCAGCTGCTTCCTTCGTGGGTCAGTTGTAACAAGATCCAGTCTGTCTTCTCTGTCATTTATCCTCAGGATCACCTAGCATGTGGTTACCACCCACCCTGAGGAGGCCCCACCTCTGAGCAGCTGAGTCCTGAAGAAGAAGCCAAGACTATCTCGCACCCTTTTCCAGCTGAGCAGCCAGACTGAGTGACTCTGGCTGCAATGATGGTGGGCACCACCTCCACCTCCTAGTGGTCACGGCTCCTTTGCCACTGTCCGAGCAGCTAACACATACGGCTGCATCCCCTTCCAGAAGCAATGTAAGAAAAGTGAGCAGCATCTGAACCAGAGAGGTATTTGTCAGAGAGTTTCTAGCAGGAATGTCTGTAAAAGTAACGGGTTTGCAGAACCTGGGTGGAAAGGGAGGCCTCCCGGACCAGCAGACACAGGAGGAAGAAGGGAAGATGCGCTCGCTTGTCAGTGAAAAGTACAAGGGCCCTCGACAGCTCCGGCTGCATTCCTGGCAAAGCACTCAGCTGCCCCCTCAGGACTCACTCACTGCTCAGGCCTCAAATCCTCAGCTAGCAAACACCATCATTCTGTCCGTGCAGGATCCTCCTCCATGCTCGCTTCATACTCCTTAACTTCATCTGTTCTTCCAGGCTCTCCTGCCCCAGTGCAGAATCCCAGATGCCAGGCAGGAGACAGCCATCTTTGCAGAGCCCCCACCTCCCCGCCACACTCCATCCTGGTGCTCCACCCAAGGCAAGCACTGCTACTTCTCAGGTCATTGAAGCAAAGGCCTGGCCCACCTCCCACAAGGGCCTCCTGAGTGTGGCACAACAGTTTGTCTGGATTGAAAGTGGACAATGTCCCTCTCCCCACCTGCCTCCCACTGTTTGGGGGTGAAAAAAAAATCAAACCATTACAGAAATCAACGCAGTAAAAAGTTACAAATCAGAAAGCTAACCCTAAATGTATCTGTGAGATAATATTCCTGAATAATTGTAATCGGAGTAAAATAAAATAAAAAAGTTACACTGTAAGGTATAAAAAGTCTGGGTAAGATGCTCCCAGGGGCCTGGCCTGGATGTAGTCACTACCACCACCCCTACCCCCCAGCTCTCCCACGTTCCCATGGGTGGTGTGGATGGCGGGGGCTCTGCTGGGGCAGTCTCCTCACAAGGAGGAAGAAAGTGTCAATATGAGGAGGGGGCCTTTCCTCCTCAAGCACGCCCCAGCCCACCCTGTCTTCTTTGGCAAATACACAGATGCAGGTGCAGAGTCCAGAGCACCTCCTCCAGGCCCTCCACCCTCAAAGTCAGGTGGAGGCAGTGGGGCAGGCGGGAAGGGCAGCTGGGCAGGGAGGTGGATGCAGGGTTAGCAGTCTGGAGAGTGCAGGTGGATAGACGGGTGGGTGGGTGACACAAAACTCAAACTTCTTCCTTCCATACAGTGTCCAGGTGGGAGCTGGGATGCACCCTGCCGCTCGCTCAGGCATCATACTTTTTACCCGTCCGGTGGATGTGCTGGAAGAGGGTCATGGAGAAGGCCATGCCCAGAATCTGAAAGACATGGGAAATGGCCTCAGACGGATAGCCCAGTGGCCTGGGCTCTGAGCTCAGAGAGACTGGAGCAAACAGATGCAGCCACTGGGGAAAGCTTGGAGAATGCGAGTGGAATCCTGAAATTGGTGCACACACAATGTCCTTACCATCATGGGACCCCTGGATGGTGCAACGGGTTACCATGCCCAGCTGCTAAACAAAAGGTTGGAGGTGACCCAGAAGAAAGACCTGGAGCTCTACTTCTGAAAAATCAGCCGTGGACAGCCCTAAGGAGCACAGTTCCACTCTGACACACACCGGGTCACCATGAGTCAGAATGGACTCAAGGCAATGATTACAGTGACCAGCTCAGGGTCACACACAAATGACCTTCAGCATCAAATCCCAGCCCGACCCCTTGGAGGCAGCTCAGAGGCTGTCAAATTGGGAGAGGGGTGGCTGTGTGAACTGCATGGGATCAAATACAGCATGGGCTTGACCCTAAATGGCAGCTAACAAGGCACTCAGGAAAAGGTAGGGAAAACTGACTGAGCCCCGAAATACTGAAGTGCTTTGGTGGTTGTTATGTGCTATGGAGTAGACCTGTCCAATGGGATTCTCTATGCTGTTTATCTTTCTCTTGCTGCGCTGATGTTGTTGTTGTTGTTAAGTGCCGTCGAGTCGAATCTGACCCATAGCAACCCTGTATAGGGTTTCCAAGGAGCAGTTGGTGTGCTTGAACTACCAACCTTGCAGATCAAACGACTTTGCAACCTGATGCATTATCCCACAGCGCCACACCAGGACTCAATGGGTGGGTTCAAACCACCAGCTTTTTAATCGGCAGTCAAGCACTTCACTGCCTGAGCTACCAGGGCTCCTCTTACACTACGCTTGTTGTTGTTGTTGTTGTTGTTGTATGCCATCAGGGCAGTTCTGAGTCATAGTGATCCTGTATAGGATTTCTAAGAAGTGACTGGTGGGTTTGAACTGCTGACCTTGTGATTCACATCCAGCGTCATACCAGGAGTTAATGACAGCATTAACACTCAGAGCCTGAATCCTGAAGAGGTGATGACCCAGGGAAGTAATAGAGACAGAAGGAAGCCAGTCTGTGATCTCATAGTCAACACACGGTCTGCCGTGTACACAGGGACGCTAGGCATGCCTTCCCTGGCCCTTGTGGTTCATGGTCTGGGTGTACAGGAGAAGAAAGAGTGGAAATGTTCTGAGTTGGTGACTTGGCACCTTGTTGGACCCCATCCTCAGAATCAAATAGGCTTGCTCTCTGAAAATGAGCAGACTGGGCTGCTAAGCTTCAAAAGTTCTTAATAACCTCAGGCTATCAAACCTCCAAAAGAGCTCTGGTAGTGTAGTGGTTACGAATCAGGCTGCGAGCCACAAGGTTAGCTGTTCGAAACTACCAGCTGCTCCGCGGGAGAAAGATGAGGCTTTCTGCTCCCGTAAAGATTTACAGCCTCGGAAACCCTGTATAGGGTCGCTATGA